AAGTAGTGCAGGAACTTCCTCATCCCCTGGATTTTCAAATGCACCAATGTAAATGCAGTTGATGCAACACATCAACTGAGTGTGTAGCCACACTAAAAGGGAGTGAATGTGCTTTGGCAGCAAATGAAACTGAATGGCCAAATTATTATTATTATTATTTTGATTTTGATTTTTGTGTGTGTGTGTTAAAATCTTTTTAGCATCCCTGGTTAGGCATTGATCCCATGTGATTTCTTACATCTAATTCACTAGGGTAGCCAAATACTTGCAGAACAATTTGCTAAGAAATTTCACTGATAACTGCTTTAACTAACACCTCTTGTGTTGTTTTTTTTTCTATATTTCATCACAGGGAGGTCTACAGTGAAGTACCTTCCTTTAGGATGTTTGCTTGCATGTCTTCTTTGTTCTGATTTGTTTACACACTGCAATTCATTTGTAAGAGAAAGCAAAAACAAAGAAATGCATCTTACAGTCAGCCCAGAGGTGGAGAAGATTTCATGAAGGTCCTTGATTTTATCATTTTTTGATGGCAGATGAAATTTTCCCCAATATTAAAACACTCTGTTATGTCACAGGAACAAAATTGTCAAATCCCAAGCCTTCATTACGGGATTACAGACATCCAAAAAGCCATAGAATTTCTGGATAAATACTGAGAATCAGAACATTAGACAGCCTAGGAAAAGAGTAAAGTGACTGCTCTCAGGTGAATAATGTTCCGAACCATATCCTGTCAGATCACGTAAAAGTTCCTCTCTATTTTCCATCTCTCTATGCAGGAGTATGTGAGCAACAGGGATTTTTCAGAAAAGTCTTTGTCAGTCTATATGGGGTCTTCAGAGAAACCCCCAGAGTTCTCTGGGGAAACATCTTTGTCTTCAGAGAAAACATCTTGAAGAAGTGTGGTAAAACCAGAAGTTTCACCAATTAACCATTCCTTAGTTCAGAACTAGCACTCGCTCTGCAGATTAAGTTTATTACACCAGAGATAAAATCTATCTTCTCCCAGCTAGACTTTCAGCTGCACTGGAAGATGCTAGTCATGCTATCAAATTAGCTGGTCTTTAGATGGTTTTGGATATACAGCTAAGCTAAAACTACACCCCTGTTCTAAGTTACTCCTCCCTTCCATATCAGATATTAGCACCAGAACATTTTAAGAGTTACTGTGATGACTTTTGAGGCCACCTGTAGAACATTTTGTGCATAACAGAAATGTTTTTTTTGACAGGCTTCTAGCAAAACATAGCAATTGGGTCATGTCAAGTAAAAATACGTTGCTTACAAAGGTGAAAAATGTAAAGTGAGGAAATAGACAGAAGCCCTTAAAGTTATGACAATATGCAAAGAACTTTTGGAAAATAAGCATGAATGTTACTATAATATACTATTTGGAATTGTTATTCCAATTACACTGGAATGTAATTAATGCATACAGTATTATATTTCTTTTTTCCAGACTCAGTCAAGATTCGATCTTTATCATTTCTTGCACTCCTCCCTTGGAGTCTCTAATGATTTCTTGATCAAGTGAAGATGATCTCTGAATCTTCCTAATCTGTTTTTCTCCCCTGTGTAACATTTCAGGTTCTCTTTTCTCCGTCTTCATCAGATCTTCATCATGTTGTGGTAGTAAAGATTCCTATTGCCAGGCTTTAAAATGTATAGTCCTGCACCATCAACATTATTAAAAACAGGCTACAAAGATCACTTTTTTTTTCTCACTACATCATTAATATTTGCTTCTCCTTACCTGCCTCAGTTTACTCTGTATGACTTGAAAGCCATGACTTTGGCTACCAATAGCCTTGCCACTTCCCTAAATGATCAATTATTCCTTGAGAGCATAGTGACGTGAACTCCTTCCCTCATCCTTTTCATAGCAAAAAATTTCTTCAGCCTCAACTTTCTCTTTGTCATTTTCAGCCTGACAGGAAGACCCATGGCTACTCTTAGACACTACAAGCCACATAGCAGGATGTGTTTTAAATATTCCTTTAAGACTATTAAAAAACAAACAAACAAAGGAAAAAAAAAAAAACACCCAACTAGCAAATAGTGCTTTGGGAGAACTTCCTATGGTACTAAGTACTAGTAATAGAGTACTGTGTCAGTCTATTCTACTCTTTCTACATGTCTTTCCCCATTTAACTTGCCTTGTGAGCTCCACATGCTCACATACCAGATAAATAATGCCAGCTAACAGTAAGACAAAGTAGTTGGTGCTTTGGGAGAATTAATGTATTAGGTTTGCACACTCAGAGCTTAGAAAAAACAAAGCATGTTTTGAACATCTAATGACTCAAATTGCACTAGAGGAAAGATTGAGTTCAAAGTTAAACAGTATATTCAGTTTGTTCCATTAATAAATTTTCCATAAAATACATCATTACATCTTTGATCAAAATTTTCCATGCACTAAGTTTTAGTACAAGATGCCTTCTCCTATAGGGAACATTCTAGTATCACAACAGAAGGACTTCTTCAATCTGTGTTCTTGTGGTTCTTCCTTGGTGACATTTTCCATTCTTTAGAGTTGTTCTTCTTCCATTTCATTGAACTCAGAAATCTAGTTGCTTGAATAAAAAGTGTAAGTTGGCACCACAAAGCACAGGTACTAATTGTAGCTTCTGCACTACGCAGTAGCCTCACTATTGTGCAACATGCTACTGAAGACACTTTCTCATCTGAAGCTGGCAACAGCTAAGCCAAGGGCAGTGGGACCATCCTATGAGAAGTGATAATAGCCTTTTTTTTTTTCTTTAATGACTGAAAGATGGCAAAGAGAGGAGCTGAGAGGCTGATAGACTTTCTGAAGTATTCCACAAATATTTACAAATCAAATGACTAGGAAGGAGGACTAACTAACTGCTATAGAGCTCTGCAGTAACAGACTCCAATTCTCGGAGCAGGAGGTGGAATTTTTTCCTAGGTAGGCGGTAAAAACAACTGCCTTGGGTGAAGGACACTGAGATGAAATCTCCCACATGCTTGGCAAGTGCTCTGATTAGTAAGCCACTGTTTAAAGAGGTGAACGAGAAATGAGGATGTCATCAGCACCATTCATTTTTAACAATTTAAAGAGTGACACTTCCAAGCATACAGACTCTGTTCTAAAAAAAAAATAATAGTGCTGACTTCTGGAGAACTTCAAGCTGCAAATCCTGATTTGACCTACATACCTTACAGCAGAGTAATGCTAAAGCTAACCCTAGAGAAAGGAAGAAAATCAGATATGCCCTTCTTTGAATAACTTTATACTAGCCAGCCTAGGCAGCTCCCTGCTGAATGCACTTGCTCCCTGAGTCCTTTCTGAGCTGCTTAGTTTTTCCTTATTGACCTAACTCAGAGCTCAGACTGCTTGTGTTAGCCACGTGCCTAAGTCTCTGATGGATGATGTATCTTGCTCTTGGCTGCCATGTGATTAGCAGGCAAGTGGTCTAATGGTCTGTATGCTGAGGATGAATTAAGTTGTGTAAGGATCTGGGAGGGCTAAGAAAAGTGACAAGAAGCTACTTGGAAGTGTAGGACAGCTGGTGTGAGGAATTACTTTACTTTGGTCCTTTTAACCCATACTTTGCATTATGAGGCGAAGTGTTGAAACAAGCTCTGGCATGGCACCAGTATTTCCTGGCTAACTCACTGCCTTTTGGAGTGCTGTTTGCCATTTAGCTTTACACTTATTTTTAAATCGTCCATGTCGGCAACTCTTAGCACTGGCTTTCTACTGTACGTTCACGTTTGCCACAGCACAACGTCAAGAGCAAACAACAAGACGCGGTGCCTGAGCAGGCCGTGGAGCACCTCCTGACCTGCCCACCGCCCTTCTTGAGAGGAGGAAGGGAATTCAAACTTTTTGGAGAAATACAACCAGCCTCCGCCTCTGCTTCTTTGCAGAGGTCACACAGAGCCTCACCGGGTGGCGGTGGCATTGCCAGGAAGGTGGTTAACACCCCACAACCCCATCCCCGTCCCTCGGCTGCCGCGCCCTCCGCGGGCCCGTGCATGCTGCCAGTTCTCTCCTTGTACTGCCTTATTTTTAACTTTTATTCCTGGTTATGGAGTGGGTGTGAGGGAATTAGCGCCCTGAGAGCCACGAAGCGGCAGCTGCATCTGGGGGAGCCGCGTGCGTGAGGCAGGGGGAGCAGACGCGATTACTTCAGAATTTATTTAAGCGCTGGTGGAAACCACTGCAGCGGCTTCCAGGGGAAGTCCCTGCCGAGGGGGAGAGTGCAGAGCAGCAGCAGCAGCAGCAGTGGCAGCGGCGGCGGCGGCAGCAGTTGTGGCGGCAGCTCCGTGGCCCTGAGCTGCAGCAGGCTCTGGCCCTGCAGGGAGGGCTCTTGCTCCCTCCTGGCATTGCCAATGGCATAAAGTGTTAATTAGGCGTGTGGGCTGGCCAGATTATAGGAGATATTGTCACTGCTTTGTCATGGCCGGATTAGGACAGATGATACGTTTTGTTACACCACGTATCCGATTAGGCGAGATGAAATTGCGTGTGCCCGAGCTTCTCAGACTGCTGCGCGGAGCCGCTCGGGGATGTCATCCCGCTTCAAACACCGCTTAGCAGGGTCAGCCTCGTCCACTCACGATCCTGCGGTCATTGCACGCGTGTGGACGCCGCTCACGCACGGAGGTGCGACTAGCCAGGGCCAGGTATCATCCACTTAAAAAAAAGGAGAGAAATAAAAGAAAGATGCTCTCGCCCCAGCCCCTCCCTCCTGTAGTCGCTTCCTTCCAGCTGTAAAGATGCTGCTGCTGGAAAGGGGCCGCTGGAGCTTTAAGAGCCGCTCGCCCCCCCCTCCTGCTCCCAACAATGGTCTGAGCCGAGCTCTGCTTCCCAAAGCAAAATTTGTAATATGCCATTTTTCCCATGGACGCTTCTCCTGCCGGCTGCTGACGAAGCGAGGGAAGAGGATGCCGCGGTGTGAGGCAGGCAGTCCCGCCGGAGCGCAGGTGCTCGGGCTCCCGCGGAGCATCTCCTGTGGCCGCCCCAAGGAGCTCTCGGCTGCGTGAGTCGCCGCTCGACGCTGGCGGAGACTGCGGTTGTGACCGACCAAGTGAACGGGCAGACGCCGAAATAAAAACCACTAGGTACCGAATCCACTGTTTCTGAGGGAAACCTTCCCTCCTTGGCCTTGGCACCCTCTGCGACTCGTGCTGCTTGCTGTTGCATGCCTGCTGATATCTAAATGCATTTCTGTAATCAGAGTTGGGGAATTTCAGTGTAAAAACCATAAGGCCAACTTCTTTTTTTAGTGTGGTTGAGGGAGTTTGGAGGCTGAAGGGATTACCATCTTCATAAAGAATGAATGGTTGGAATAAGTCCCTCATTTATTTTTTTTTTTAAGGAACT